TGTCTTAGTCGCTAGAGGAGTTGCCTTAGGCGGTCTCCCTCTTCGTCGTAGGATCGTTAAGGGCAATTCCTCCCCTACTAGCTCCTTCCTTAGGGCAGCGCTAGGGCTTCTGTTCTGCCTTAGGGGTGGAGCTAGGACAGCAATAGGATAAGAAGGCTCAGCTCTTAAGTTATTTAGGTTATTGCTAGGGATCCAGTTTCTGCTTAAGGGAGCGTTTGGGGGCTGGGTTAGATAGCCTTTAGTGTTATAGGAGGCACTTAGGCTGTCGGTTTCCTATAGTAGGTCTTCTTAGGCCGCAGGTTCTGGCTCTATTGCTCTCTTAGGGAGACTGGCAACGAGGTTTTTAACTGCTAGGTTGACTTAGGCATCTTCCCTAGGTGTTATAGTAGGATTTAGAGGCTGCATAATAGCAGGCCGCTAACTTAGAGGATTCTTTTTTAACTCCTAATGGCGTTTCTTTTTAAGAGCAGCTCGTAAAGCTTCTGCTTGCTTTACGCTCTCTTAACTTGCGCGTGAAACTTCGCTATTGCTTTTCCGGATTTGTTTAGCAGCTTCGTTAAGCCGCTTCTTAAAGCGTGGTATGTCTTTAAGACGCTATAGATCCAGCGGTTTGCCCTCCCCTATTAAGAATTTGAGGGCCCCTAACCGATTAAGTGTCATCTTAGACAACTTCTCCTATTTCTTCTTAGGGATCGAAGCCAGGGTTAAGAAGCTTAAGGCGGTTTTAACATCATCGCTAAGGCTCTCGTTAAACTTAAGTCTAGCAGCTTTAGGTGAAATAGTGTTGCTAGTATGCAATCTTCTGTTCCATTCCTTAAAGCTAGTAGTAGCGTGTGCCTTAATTAGGCGGTCGCCGTTCACTTAATGCTTGACCACTAAGCTATCTTCTTTTTTAAGAGTGTAGGTCCTAAGCCAGCTGCGCTTAAGGATCTTAAATAGCCCAACATAGTTGGGTTAGAGCTTAGTCTTTGTCTTATATACGACGAGCATAAAGTCTCCTTCCTTRAACTTGCTATTAGTGTTTATAAAGGTCTTAGAGCTAATAGCCTTAGATCGAGATGCTTTTGCAATTAGTCTTTCCGCTGCGAGGCTCCTTGCATTAAGGAGCACTTAGTAGCGCTTAGTAACATCGTTAGGATTAAGCTCTATAGGTCGTAGGTATAGGTAATCTCTAAGTATTCGGGGTTCCTATCCGAACAGCAAGAAGAAGGGGCTCAAGCCAGAATTCGATTAAGTTCGAATTCGACTTGTATATAGTGCTTTAGGCAAGTAGAGATCCTATGCATAGACGCTCTTGCTATAGCACATCTTAGTAAGGATCCGTCTAAGTACACCGTTTAAGGCTTCAACCTTCCTATTAGTCTAGGGATAGTATAGAGTCGTGAGGCGGTAGTTAGCTTAGAGGGTATCCATTAGTACATTAAATGCCTTAGAGATGAAATTTAAGCWATTGTCGCTTAAGACTTCTTTAGGTGGCCCAAAGTTCGTATAGATCTCTTCTTGCACGAACCTTGTAATAGTCTTAGTCTCTTAATTGGGGACTGCTCTTGCAAGTGGCTAGCCCGTGGCATAGTCGATTACTGTAATGATGTACTTGTTTCTATTAAGAGTAATAGGAAGGGGGCCCACCACATCGATCGCCTATCGTTCAAATGGCTTAAGGGTGCGATCGTTTTGGTGGAAGTGTGGTTCTTGGGCGGCCGTCCCTAATCGAGGCTTTTTGCGAGTGACTTAACACTAGGGGCAGTTCCTTGTATAGTCCTCGACATCTCTCTTAAGAGACTACTACCATCCTCTTACACGGAGGATGCTGTTCACTCCCGGGATGCTAAAGTGGCTATAGTCCTTATAGCAACGCTCCAAGAAATCCCACCTGAACTTAGGGTCGACATATAGTGTCTTAGTCCCCAGTTCATTTTTGTGGTATAGCAATCCATCCTTAAGTTCTAAGCTAGGCGACTTGTCTGCTACTAGCTTACTTAACTTGGGGTCGGCGGGCATTTCGCCTGTCTCCTTAAAGAGGATCACTGCATTAATCACCTCACGCTTAGAGAACTTGCGGATAATAGTTCCCCTAGWAGCATTAAGGCGGAAGGCTTAAGGTAGGGCAGT